CTGAAGCAGGGGTGATGACTTCGAGATCTTTCAGACAAAGTTCACACTTCGTAGGAAGGTGGGTAGGAATTGTCTCAATTGTAGCTGGCGATGCTGATATTGTCAAGAAAGGCTTCACACTCGCCACGATCTTCATTGGTCTCGATAGACCTTGATATTGATGCAAAAGGTGATCTAAGAAACTGTTTTTTGGTCTTCTGGTAATGAAAAATCCATGATATGTTTCATGTCTTGATCCAAGCGTGTAAGTGTCGCGAGTTGCGAGGGGGAATGTTAATCGCTGTTCTGTTTGAAGACCCTAAATAACTGTTCTGGAACCGACAATATCTATTGAAGAGTTGTTGAAACGCTTCCCTAGTAGACCAACAGCAAGGGGGGCTATGAGGCAGGCAGGAGCTGGTTAAAAATCATCCTTTTTGAATGAGCGCCTCTTTCTTCTGTTTAAGGTTTGCTTTCTTTTGGGTGAGATAGAGGAGCTTGTTTTGTACGGTTTCAAACGTTGAAATTATGACTTTGGAACATTAAAACGAGACGGTCGATCGTCGCTCCTCAGAGCGTAGCGTGAAGAAAGTGTTCCTTAGCTCTTTATGGTGTAAAACGTGTCAGACAAAAGTTACGAAACAGTTAGAGGCATTTTGTTGGCGTGATAATTATTGCGTGAAAGTTGAGCAGTGGAATTAAATTTATTGCCGAGTCATAGAAAACTTAAAAGAGTCTCTGAAAATCATTCATCTACAATCTTCGACAAAAATAGGGGAAAGAAGGAGAAGAAGAAAAAAGAGACCTATGGCTGATTTCTGTTTCTTTGCGCCCGTAGAATATTCTAATTATAACTACACAGAGCATCATCCGTTAGTTGAAGCAATTCACGAGCTGTAACTCCCTTTTTCGATTGACAGACACTTTTTTTCTCTTTAATGATTTAGACCGGGATATATATATATATATATATTAATTATTTTCTTTAGACAAGAGAGAGAGAGAGAGAGAGAGAGAGAGAGTTAACTGTATGTTTCACAAATACGAGTTACCTTTGTCGCCAAGAAAAATAGGAATTTGGATATTTTAAAAAATGAATGCTACTTTGAATTGTGTCCCAGATCGTTTTTTGTTTGTTTATCATTGACATTGTCTTGATATGGTAAGCTTTCATGGGGGAAGTAATTATTAATTTATTTTTGTTTTTCTTTAAAGGATGGAAATATACTGAAATATCTTTTATAACATTCTGACGCAAATTATAAGGTGTTTCTCGAATCTTGCGACACAATATTACTCCACAAAAAGATATTTGCGACGAGTTTTAGTTTTTAAAGAAGGAAGGGAAACGTTCAAAAAGTTGCTACGAGAATGATAAGGTACAGGGAATATTTAAATAGTGATCAAACCTCCTTGACTCGGAAAGCAATTCTAAAACTTAACGGTGTTGTAATAGCTTTATCAAGGCAGTCGAATGGATGGAAAAGTTCTGGGAGAAATTAAAGTTGATTCCCGTGTAGAACGTAATAAACTTTGCCTATAGCTATAGCATTTGTGCTACATTGTATATCTAAGAATCACTTAATGGCTGGCTGCGAAGGAGGCAGCTACGTCATGGTATCAATTGAGAAGAATCAGCTTTGAATAGTACAGTAGTGTTGAATGAAAATATCTCAAAAAGGTTAACCTAACCAGGGAGAAACAAATTGGGAAATGGCGAAATTATACAAAAATGCAAATAGCTGATTCGAAAACATCAAAGTAAATTTTTTGAGATGGAAATCCATCACTCAGCTGACATTGAATTTCATCGTGATTAGGAAGACTTCCTGTCGCAAATACGATTTTAAAATATGCAATACTTTAGCTTTTTTTTTCCGAAGTTTTAGCTTGACTAGTTCTCAATAGGCATGACCTTGTCACTGTTAGGTGAATTTAAGGATCTGATGATAACCAGTTTCGCCCCCTAGCTGTGCCTACTATTTTCGACGATGCCAAGGACAAATTATGTATAAGAACTT